ACTAACATTATAAAACTATGACGCCTTCGCATAATGAATTCTTGCAAGATTAGGTATTAGAAGATCATTTGTAAAAATACATACGGAGATACTAGCATCTTCACTCCCAAAACTTCGTGTTCTCTCATTTTAGTTAAAAACACACTGTGATATACTTAAAAAAATGTTAGTATAATACAAGTTCTGAATGATCGTTAAAATGTAATTCCGTATGTACCTATTAACAATGCAGGCAACTTGTGTTGACTAAAACTTACAGAACTTATATGTGATTGTTCTTAAACATATGTGAAATTAGAACTATTGATAATTATTTCTGACTGAATAACACTTCTCCTACTATTACTATACATTATAGTCTAGGTGATTGAATACGTTTTAAATTGTTTGAAATATCTAAATATATATAACTCAAAGGTGACTGACGTAGTGTTCTATCAACGCACAGCCCATACCACTGGACGGATCGGGCTGAAATTTGGCATACAGGTAAATGTTATGACGTAGGCATCCGCTAAGAAAGGATTTTGATTAATTCTATCCCCAAAGGGATAATAAGAATTAAGGGATAATAGGGGGATGAAAGTATATATGAAACTTTGTCAATTTTAAACCGATCGGGCTGAGACTGCATGCATAAAGCTACTATGATGTAGGCATCCCCTAAGAAAGGATTTTGATAAATTCCACCCCTAACGGGAAAAACTAACGCGAGCGAAGCCGCGGGCAAAAACTAGTTTACATATAAAATAGTACGTTTAGGTTTAATATTATTATTTTTAAAAAGGGTTAATCTGTTGTAGATTTTTAGGTTTGTGTATGTGTATTTATATATATACTCATAAGTATATAACGTTCTCTACATTAATTTGTAATCGCGAAATCAATCTTGCCTTAAACTAAACTTGCGTTACAACTTCCTTTAATTAATTGAATTTACAGACGTGAATTCTGAATCGGATTATCACTTGTCTGATAATTAGAAATGGTTCCATAAGGAATAGACAGAAATAGTAGTGTCTTTGCTCTCTATCCGTCCCGAAATCTTGAAACTTGTTTCGTCCACCATAAATGCTTTCTTTTAAGAGTGATCTAAATTATTATTGTAAGTAGAAGGAAAATTAAAGGTTGTAAGAAGAAATATTATTAAAATATTGTACAAGTGGCTCCTAATAATTTAATTAGATACGTAACTGATAGTAACTATTAATGATGCTGAGATGCGTTTTAAACTCACAATCAAACAGCATTTACTACATATGCTTTGTTCAATAGTTGTCCATACGTTTTTTTGTAGATATAGACTCTATATTACGTAATAAAGGTTACCTCTATTTAAATACTACTTAGGTAACGATTAATTCTCTTATACACCTTATAGTATTGTGAAATACCGCCGACGTAGTAATTTATCACACTAAATTTGTTGCTTTCAACAGAGAGATTAAGTGACAAATCTTTTCATCCAAAGTAGGCATTTATTAATCTAAAGTCAATTCGTGATGTAGTATTCATACAATTCATGGAGTTGGCACATATTATTTACTACGGCAGTGGTAGTCAGTTAGTTATGTGAAAATTATATTATTTATACAGTTGCTGATCAAGGGCTTCAGTGAGCCATATTAAAACTAGTACGTAAATCATAGACAATCGCTTCTATAGTCCTGAAAATGGGTTACATCAAATAAAAGACAGGGTCTCGTGTGGTAATTTGTTCAACATCAATAATTTGTTGTTAGTAATTTGTGTTTTGTGAATATGCTAGTTACTAAAAGAGTTATTAAAAAAAGCAATATTCTCAATTTACGACATCTTCTTATATACAAAATTCTCGTGTCATAATGTTAGTTACCATACTCCTTCGAAACGGCTGGACCGATTTTTAAGAAATTTTATATTATATATAGTAGGTTGGCCACACCTAACAAATTTTTAATTTTTAATTTTTTTGTAATGTGGCATTAAAAAATACATATAAGCCTAAATTTTCACCCTTCAGCAATCCCTAACTAAAACCCCTACTTTTTTATAGCAGTTTTACTTTATATGGCAAAACAGAGTTTGCAGTTGGCACAAGATTTTACCTTGTGGTAATTTATAGTGTAAGAGACCAATGTTCAGAAGTTAGTAATAGTTGACTGCAATTGGTGTCTCTGAGTAAAAACAAACGTTAAAGATTAAAATTTGTATATTTGGTACTTCGTATATTTTTTCATTTACATTTTGAGTCGATAAGAATTATAATAATTATCGTATGATCTAGACGATAATAATAATAATTTATAATAAAGAACAATATAAACGTAACACACTCCGAATGTTAAAATTAAAATATTTAACAAATTCTATATAGGTTACAATATAACTAACTATAAGTAGGTAGTATAAATATTAATATTTATTATATTATTAAATTTAGAACAATATTTATTGAACAAGTAGCTAGATTTTAAATAGTACAGAATAGCCTATTATATAACTGACATAATATTAAATTTATGAAACATTTTAAATGATTTCTTTATACTAAATAAGAATACTGGCGTTTTTTTATTAATTTACCCAAAATTAGAGACTGTACAAAAACCTGTATGTTTATTGGAAAACGCATGATATACTTAGAATATTTCACAATTTGTCAATCAATAGTTGTTTTTAAAAATTTGTTATTAAAAATTATTGCAATTAATAGTAAGTTTACTTCTAAAAAAAATTTAGTTCACAATACACTTGCAATGGCATAGTGCTTAGTGAACTTTCTAATCAGAAACATGTATATTTCCGTACTTTTTTAAATAGAACCCACACAACCAGCTAGGGCTCGGTGCTTAATTATGAGGTTCTAGATACAATTCTAGATTGTTACTCCGCATTATTAATATTAATAATATTAAATAAAGAGCTGCTAAACATCGACTATGAAACGAAACATTGTTAACGAGTATTACTGCTGGAAAAAAGGATATTTACAATGGAATTTGGTGTTATTTACGACAAAACATAAACCAAAAAAGTTACTACTATTATTTGATTAAGATCACATGTACGTTGGAAGACTATATGAAAATTTTTACTGAGAGAGAAAAAATTAATATCAAAAAATTTTTGCTCATTCGCTATTGCTCTTAATTTCAGTACATACACATTGATAATGCTATTATTATCCTAAATATTTAATATACAGCGAATACGGCAATGGTGTTGCAGTGTTATTATTTTACTTACAGTTAAATAATTATTCGCTACTTAGTTTTAAATTTCAATAATTTTTATTTTAAAATGTCTAACGCAGTATCTAATTTATATCGATTTAGAATTAAATTGTCGTTGTTGTTCATTTATATATATATATGCACTATATTTGAAACTTGCACATAGTATAAGTAGAATGAAAAGGTTTATATATAACTATACTATCATCAGTCATAGGTATAGTTGATAAATGTATAAGTTTATATTAAAATTATACATATAAAGGTATCTTTACCTAATCATAAGTATGATTTCAACAGTTATATTTTTAATTTAAATCAGAATAACGAGAATTATTATATGGGTAATACAAAGAAAAGTCTTATAGTAATAGGAAATAAAATGAGTCCAAATGGATTGGTATACGTATTTACGTAGTTAGGTAAAGATTTATCTGGATAAAATTTATTCATAAGTTTAGAACAATTTACACGAAGTATTTGGTGTTCTTTTTTGGAATAATAATATCTTAGGTTTAATATCATTTTCTACTTAATATCTTATTCTATATAAGTACAATATTTACACAAACTTGAAGTAACAAAAATTGATTATAAATAAAGTTATATGCGGCCAGCGCAATTAATAAAATTATTTTAACATTTTTTAATTAAAAAGACGGTTTAATTGATATAACTTAATTGTTAAAACTTAGTTTTATGACATAAATATATACATACAATTAAGTGCAATTTATTGTTGTGTAGTGCTCGTTCGATAGGCACAGAGGCACAGTCATTTTTTTATTATTTATATAGATTTATCCTAGAAGAGAATTGCTATATTGAGAACATTGGTAACGTTGCTAATATAACTATAATTATATTTAATAAAAATTTATTAATAAATAATGTACGTTTGTTCAACTTACTGTTTGAAATGAAATATACCTATTTTAAATTAATTGAATTTTACAGACTTAGATTAAGAACCAATTGAAGTTAAATGTTCACAATATAACTAATTCAGTTTATACACCCCATCTTTACAATGATAATTTAATCGGTTTTTTAATGAGAATGTTATGTGAATTAGTTTTAATGACGTGTTGGCATTATAAAAGGTTTTTACTTATAAGAAATCAGGAAATTACAATATTTAAAAATGACATCTGATTTTAATATTTATATTTTGAATAAATATTTTTTTTTAAGATTTATTAATAAAATGAGGTATAATTTTAAGCGTCTATTTATTTAATATACATATATATATATATATAATTTACTTCTGATTTCCCATAAAAGTATACACGTTTACATTATAGGATTACTTCAATGTATGGGCATGTATATAAGAGTCTCACATTCACTTTCTGCAAATAAATTCTAAAAAAATCTATAATACTTTGTACGTACCTTAAGCGTATGGGTATTTCTGCAAGGTATTACCATAAATATAAAAATATACATTTTCAAATTATTATAATATATATATAGGTACTACAAATATATATTTATCTATATTGTGATTATATAGTGTATTTTAATGTACTAAATATTTAATGAAACATAGGTAATTTTATATTACAATTAAATACATGAAAATAATATATTTTTATATTTTGGAATGTCTCTAGCATGGTATAGAAACTCTAAATAATGCTACCTATTAAGAATAAGCTATGTTTTTAAAAATATTCATGTTAAAGCTATGAAATTCCTTTAGTGAATATATAATACAGTGTTTAAAGTAATACATTATCATAAGTATATATAATCATTTCAAATCCATTAGTGTGTTTGCAGTTTAGTATGTTTAACTATACAAATTTCACTACTAATATTAAAAAAACTACAATAAATGAAACGAGTTTATTTCTTTACAATATATTCTTTTATAGCAAATTAATTTCTTAGTCATTTCATGTAAAGATTAACATCTTTTCCATACTACTTGATAATCGTGTGTCTTGGATCATATCTTCAGTATCCGTCCACTTTTATAAGCATTCAGTATTATTTGTGATAGAGAGAGAGGTAGATTGAAAGTTACAACAGGAATACTTTGGAATAAAATTGTGTATTATAAAATATAAATTTATTAAGCTATTATACTTTATTAGATATTAGACTTGATTCTATTATATGAAGTTACAGTCTAAGGATACATACTACCTAAATTTATCTTATTTCTTCGGAATGGCATTGCATGAGTAGTCGTATCTCTGGCGTCAGATTCTCGATTACGTGATGTTCGTGGCGCTCTTCATTAGTGACGGTTACTACTTACCATCAGTTATTATTGGTGGTTAATTTTACATGAAATGACTTTTCTACTAAAATCTAAAGACAAGCCGACCTAAGAAATTACAAATGGCTATTACCTATTAAATAGATTAAATCTATTTTCTAAGAAACCCTCTATTCTTTGGATGTTGACGCAAGAGATTATATATTTTTTTAAGTTACTACTGATTTCATGGGATTTCATTTGAAATAAAAATATGAATAAGATTTATTAAAATCTTGAAATATTATAAATAATGTTGTTTCTTATAGTGTATCTATACTTGATTCATGTAATTTTAGTACTTTGAATACTGTTTCATTTTCATTCACAAAATATGACTCCAATGAAGATAATATAAAAGTTATTGTTTAAATGAAAACGTTAACAAAAAAACTGCTCTTACATCAGCAACCAAATATCCCAATTCATCACAATCTACTCAGCATTAGATGACAACAAGTGATGGTGACGTACGAGTATGATGCGATTAACGTACATTGTAAAGACCTGGTGCTGCCCGCCGCTGAGCCAACATAATTCGGTTGGCGACACATCTATAGCAGCACAGGTAAGCTAAACATCACTTAAACAATATTCTTCTAAACGCCCTCCTAAAGTCCTTATTAAATATCGTATATATTACAGGATTTAGCACAGAGTTCATGTAACCAAGCCAAAATGCGATTGCGAATGCATTAGGCGGTATGACACACTGTCTGCAGGCAGCCTTTAAAATGTAAAGAAAGAAAAATGGCAGCCAACACGCTATGAAACTGCCCATAATTAAGCCTAATATTAAAGTAGCACGCTTCTCTTTTTTCCTGGCCAATCGTTTCTTCTCCCTTTCGGGATCTCTAGGCTTGTGCGGCTTCGGCAATGCCGGTTCTAACTCGGACCTGCTGGGCTGAGATTTCTCTTGTCTCCTGTCGGATTTTTTGAAGATCCTCAGCTTTAGGGGTTTGACTCCTCCGCAGCGGCTTACGACACCGGAATCTGAGGAAGAAGGTTCTAGTTCAGATACCATGTCAGCGTCGATGGCCACGCTCGGTGCCCGGCCCCGTGTCTGTTGCAGTTGTAGCTCACCGTTCACAGATAGCGATGAACTTCTCAGAGGACACGCCGCTAATGGGTTTTTTGTTACTTGCGCTGATGTTACCACCTGCGAAAGAAAGGCAGTGTATCAGGAGTACGCAAGAACTATGGGAAATTTAACATTCGTATGTATGCACATTACTTTCTAAATAAAATTTTAATTTCATTACATTATTGTATTGTAATGTATTGATTCTTCATAATAACAAAATAGTATACGTACTATTTTCTTATTATGAAGAATCAATAGATTTATTTACCGTGGTATAAAACTACTTTTTCTTTTGATTCGAGAAGAAAGTATAACTAATTGTGAAAATAAATTTCAAATTTTAATTCTCTGAGAATATTATTAATCACCAAGATTGGTTTGGCATGCCCGAGTTCGAGAGTAGATAAGTGTAGCGAGTTCGTAAAGTATATAACCAATGGAATGCGTGAGTGGTGACCATAGAACATGACTCCAAGTAACGTTTATAAGTCTCTATTTCGAAGTCTCTCTACGTGTTCGCTAATATCAACAGTATATATAAAGGAATTTAATATTACCTTTAACGTATCTTTTCGTTCGTCTGGTGGAGGAGGTACGGTATCCCCCGCTTCGCTCGTCGATATGTCTGACGCTAAATCACACGTCACTGTTGGTATTTGAACTTGCGGTGTTTCTATAGTTGATATTTGAGTTTCCCTGGAAGCACGACAAATAATATTAATACTAATTAATAAAAAATTTCAACCATGAATTCCGTCGATAGATCCATGTCGATCTAAGTCTGTCTTTTTTTTCAAATCATTTATGCTTCTGTATGGAGAATATATAGTTATCGAGAAACTATATATTCACTATATGGAAGCATAAATGATTTCTAAAGGAATGACATTTTATTAAATTTAGTCAAATTCTCTGTGTTCTATCTCTCTTTAAATGGTAGACCTGATTCTATGTATTTTTGAATTTCTAATATCGAAGAATAAATTCTTATATTATAATATATATAATTATTATATCTATGCTGTATTGGCTGTATTTTTTTCATTATGGTTTCAGATCTTGTTTATGTAATAATTATGTAATCTGTGATATATCTAAGATTAGTAGAAGATAACAAATTAAATCAAAATTACTTCATTAATATACACCAAAAATACTCCTAGTATTACAGACTCTTGTGATTTGTCAACAATCTGTACGATAGTAATCATATGATACTTTTATTAATAGTTAGACAGACATAAATTGTGTACTATTTTATTATTAGAAACAGTCCGATCGATTGTGTTATTTACATTCAGTGAATATGAGAATGTTTCCAACTCATTGGCGTAGTAAATTACTAAGCCAATCTTCCGATACAATAGTTCTGTTAAATTCTATTAAATTCCGACATTATTAATTGTATTTAATATTGTAGTACTTATTTATTATCAACATATTTAGCATTTCATCGTCTTTTGTCATATATTTTATAAACATTTTATTAATAGTAGGTACCCAAATCATTATAAAATTGCAAGTAAAAAAACTGCATAAGATTGCCTACCGTCTAGCCATTTCATAATTTGGGAGTGATAATAACTATCTCTCGAGGGAAGGGTAGCCATGCTTGTAGAAAGATAATGGATGAAAAGAGTCCTCTATATGCAAATTATAATAATTAACTTGAAGAAAAGATAACAAACACTTTTTTGTCTCTTTATCTATCTGTATGTCAAATTTACTTTCTAAGTGCAAAATGATTGATTGATATAAGACACTTAAGCTATAGATAAATGTTATATTCATCTACTTCAGTTGAAAAGAATAGACGAGAAATAAATATCTTTAAATAACATCACATAGAGTTCAAATATGTCTGACATTATTAAAATTTAGAAAAACCCTCGTCTGAACAATTAGCACAGGTATTTAATCACCCAAATAATCATTCACAGAGAGGCTTTAGTCAATAAGTAAACATCATATTATTTTTTTTAAATTTATAAACCATACATCTAAAATATTAATCATTCAGAACTAATAATAATAATATTGGGTTGTAATCATAATTACCGGCATTATGCCAAAGAGACAAAAAATTGAAATGCAATTTGCACGTCCTGTCATTGTCCTTCGGCATAGCGCCAACTAACTGATTAACTGAACAGAACTATCCTACTTTTTCCTAAGATCCATGATATATCTACGCATGGTCAAGAATATATAACTACATACCGTCTTGTGTTATTTAATTAGACTACTGGAAATTGTTTAGATTGCGGAATATAGTGCTAAGAGTTTCCAGGTTAATTTTGTATATTAAACTAGCTACTCGCCCCAGCTTCGCACGGGTGTAGATATATTATATATATAAACCTTCATCATGAATCACATTATCTATTAAAAAAAGTACCAAAATCCGTTGTGTAGTTTTAAAAAATTAAGCATTCATAGGGACAGACAACGACAGCGACTTTGTTTTATACTATCTAATTATAATGATAAACAAATCTACAGTAAATTCTCTGAAACAATAGGCCAGATAGCATAGCTGATATTTATCTGAAATTTTTTTGAAAATATACATGATAAATGAACATTATATATGCATTGAAATAGTATTCTGCGGTTAGGTATTCGATTTTGGGATCCAGATAATATCCAGATAGCATCCATCCATTTTCTATCAATAGTTATTACGATGCAGCAAATACTCATTCGCTTTCTCTGCTGGTTCACGAGTACTCATTTATATATTTTATACAGAGCACTGATAAGTAATTGACCTCTAATACATAACTGAGTATAAGTTGTAAAAAACCAATCAATTATAATAATATACTATTCTGAAAGTAAACTTAGAAGAGATTGGTCACTTCTAACTTTGTATAACATTTGAGTGCTCCTCTATAGAACAATTTTGTTATATGCATAACAGTATAATCCCAGGAACTAAATAGGTAATTGTGTACATTTTGTAGCAAAATGTATGAAAACCTAAACTTCAGTTCGTTTTTATACTTAAAATAATCTACTTCATGTATAAAATACGAGTATATGTCATGTAATAAAAAGTTCTTACCATAAATATATTATAGAACATACTGGAATATCATTTTAAGAGAGTCACGTGCACGTTGCAAGCTTATAATTCCTACTCAATAGAAAATATTCTAGTATCTATACTTATTAGACGTTCATAATATTCGAAAATAGTGTTATTTGTTTGACGTCTTCTATTAGGTAGAAGTATTTTACTAGTTCCTGTTTTTGAGCGACAGGGACAACAGCTTGTGTTGCTTTTATTCAATTTTAATTAGAGTTAAAAGAGACAAAAACAATTTACCCATTATTGTTAGTATTAAGATGTCCAGCCGGCATGGGGTGGGTCGCAGGCATTGGCCGCGTCCCTCTGGGCGGGTTACTGAAGCTCGTTTGTTGCTCGTTCTAGAAATTAACAGAATTTACTTCAGTTAGTACGCAATAGATTACAAATACTGTTATTATTTCGTGCATTATTGACCTGAGTATTTTGACTTAACTGTTTCTGCTAGAAATATAGTGGCAATTGTTATATTTCAGTCTGAATCATCATTTGCTTCTTTCTTTTCCGATTTATTTGGGATCGGCGTATGTTTTCTCTTCCATTCAAGCGATCGGAAGGGGTTCGAAGTCATCTCGTTATTTACTCCCATTCTTAGCATATTATCTTTCACACAGTCCATCCCTCTCTTTTTCGGTATCTACCCTTATAACCATACATATTCATACGTAACGCCTTTTTAAAAATATTATGTTCATTCTTATGTATTATATGCCCATACCACAACAGATGATTACTCTTCAACCTCTGCGACACCAGTGCCACTTTCATGTTTCCTCAAATGTATTCATTCTTTATCTTATCAATTCTTGTCACACCAACCATCTCAACATTTGTATAATTATTAAATAATTTATAAACAATATATATCATTTGTTTTATAGTACGAACAAAATGAACGAAGAAATTTGACTATTGGTAGATAACAATATTTAAAATAGTTATAGGTACCAGGATTTGCGAACAAATAAATAAATATATTAATTAAACAGTGTAAGTGACTTACCGGCCTTGGTCTTGGATTCTTTCTGATTCCTCTCCTGGCCCTGGCCTTAGCTGCGAAGTATATCCTAATGTACACGAACACCATGATGCACGATGGGATGTAGAAGCTCCCCAGTGCAGAATATATCACGTAACCGATGTCGTCGGACACCTGCCGACAAAGAAAAAGATTGTAAATATAAAATCTTGATAAATTCAAGCTATGTTCTTAAACTACACAACTCGATAAATCTTTGAACCAAAAATATTGATACCAAACTAAGTTACGATTAGAAACGTAAAGTTGTGTATCTCTTTTTAATATAATGAGACTAAAAACTACAGTAGTCCATATTAATAGTTAGAGTTCGTGTATTTTAATATTAAATTATAGTACGCAATAATTTGGTTAACATAAATTACGTAGAAGTATGAGTACCGTTATATATTTACAAGGTGTTTTTTAAAAGCTAATCCAGTATTCGCTATCAAGTAACTATGTACTTGCTTTAGAAATATTTTGTTTAAAGGATATTTGTTGTAAAACATGGTTATAAAATTACTTGATATTATGTACATAGAACTGTTCATGTTTATAGGTAATGGTCGAAACATTCCAACAGGTGAACGACCAGCGTATTTGTCATTCAAGTTATATTAAAAAATAATAAAGGTATCTTGTTATCATAAACTGCAACATTAACATTTGTGAAGCTTAAATGTGATCCATCCTATATTAAAATCAGGTAGCTGAAAAAATACCCAAATACTATTCAGCGGACGACACAAAAGTATGGTAATCAGCAGCTGAAGATGTAATCCCTATATATTATTCACCTGCCTGAATCAATCGAGATAAAGAGCGATTGGAAATTTCCACTTTCTCAGCAACCATATGCCTTTGGGTCAGGTTATGAGCGGTAGATAGAGATAAGTATGTTATCCATTAGAATAGCAAATGTTTGTTAACAATATTATATGTTTTCTACTACATTATGTCTTCATTAGAATGTAATTATAAACATTTCATCATAAATATTGAAAAGTTTTTCACCAGGTTTTTTATGAGGAATTTATAGGTCTGTATAGATTTAATAGCAAAGTTAATTCAAATATGATGTGTTCACACAAAGAAGATTTAAAAAACAATATAACAAATTTAGTTTAGCAGTTGAGTACACCGCTTTACTTCCGATAGTCGCGGGTTCGATTCCTCGCACGATGCAAACATTTGTATTCATTAGTACAATTGTTTGTATCGGTCTGGGTGTTTTCTAAGTAAATTATGTATGTATTAACAAAAAAAAATATCAGTTGTCAACAGAAACTCTGCTTACGTGGACTAGATGGCGCTATGTTAATGGTCCAGGGTTATTTATTATAAATAATATTAAAAAAATATTGTGTGGTACAAGTATAAAGCGATGGCTTCCGTTGCACACTTGAACAGCAGAATAATTTTTATTTTGAAGGCTCTTTTTCAGAATTTAATCTCGAGTCCATTGTCCGTTTTCAATGGATCTTTGAAATATTGGCCGAGATAAGTCGTATGAAGAGTGGGCATTCGAGCGCCCGATGACCGATCGCGTAATGAATACCAGGCCCTTTTTAGGGTTCTGTAACAAAAACTCATAATTTAAACCCCTATCTGTTGTCCAACTCAATGATAAAGGCTGATTTGGACATACAATTGTGTGTCTAGTTATGCTTTAACAGAGTTATCTGTGGTCATCATTGTAACTGTCCACAGGTTATGACGGTTCTTCTGGTTTGAGACTTGAAATGGAAGTTAGTAATTAAAAAAAAAATTAATATTAATCATTTATATAAAACAGTTGTCTAATTTTTTTTTGGGATGCATATAAATAGCTACAGACAATTAAAAAAGTTATAAACGGAACCAATCTTCAAGTTACAAGGTTTAAAATCCCCTAAAATGGCTAAGACAATATACTAAAAAGTTACATGGTCCGTTCAATAGTAAATGGCGCGTTATAAATAACTATAAGGAAACTTGAGAAGAAAGCGCTATTCATCGAACATATCTGAAAATTGTACTTTTTATCAGTAGTCCCTTTCCCTGAATAAAAATATGTGTTCGTAGAAGATCACCGATGCATTCTGCTTCTTTACAATAATGATGATCTTTAAACTTACAACCATACTTTATATGACTACGTATATATCTTATTACTTAAATATCTTAAGGGGTTACATGGGTTTCCTCGGGCAAAAAACGGCCTTTTTTCAATAATTTTTTTTACATATAAAAAATGAAATATTTTAATGAATTTTTTTTTATTTAAAAGATACATATTTAATAAACATTTTGCAAAATTGTCAAAAAAAAATATCAAAATGGCGGTCATTACGACGCCATTTCCGGCATATGAAAAAAGGTGCCTCCGCGTATATAGAACTTCTTTCAGGATCATCTGAAATAAAAATAAAAAATACGTGTTTTAGTAAAAACAATAAACTAGGTATTGGACGAAGGAAAAAAAAAATAAATGAAAATTGGATTTTTGGCAGACGTTTTTATAAAAAAAATGCAAATTTCGATGAAAATTTCTCGACATTTTTTTTTTTAAAATAGTTGTAATTAAAATAAAAAAAAGTCCTTCGTTCAAGACCTTGTAAATGATATCTCGAAGACCTGTGTAAAATTTCATCAAGATCGGTTGAGTAGTTCGCGAGAAATCTTGACAACCGTCTTTGAAAACATAGTTTTGAGAAAAACGCGTTTAAAGTTTTAAGAGACAATAAAAGATAGTATTTTTTTTTATTTTTTTTAACTTACATTGATTCGTCGATTCCTGGGCCATAAAGTAGAGAACCTGCTGCACCTGCATTGTCCATCATGTTCCATATGACGAATCCTTTTCTCGCTGGTAGATTTCTTTTCGGCTGCGGTCACCCGGTTTTCATCCATATTTCATATTCATGGCAATTTGGGCCAAGTTTTAGGTCCATACCGTGCATAATTTAATAATTGATACGAACACCTTCCGTTATCTGGGTTCTAGACACTTTAAACGGCATTTTTTATCGAATAAAATTCACAACAAACACTTATAACCTCAAAATGAACTTCGTAGTTTAACGAGAAATCACCAAATGAAATATTTTCCAGTAGTTTACCTTATATAAAGAAAAAAAAAAGGGACAAGAATTACAGCTAACAATAGATGAGCTTTTTATGCGCCCTCAGCCTATACCTGACCTCGACCGTCCACCTTTTCAATATCTCCGAAACTATTAGTCGGATCAACTTGAAAATTATATTCTAGAGATGTTATAGAATTTAATAAGACAAAAAAAAATTTTTCGATTTTTTGAAACCGTGAAACCCATGTAACCCCTTAACTCCTCCTAATTGTGAAAAGGAGGAGTCATGGTAGAATGGAAGGTGAAATACTACATAGGTATATTGGTGTTTTTTACTTTTTTTATTAAAGATACAACACAAATAAGCTAATATGTCATACGCATGATATCATATATATTTTTTTATTCCCAGGACTATTCATTAGAGTTGCCAGATTTTTAGGGGCATAAGGGCATAGGGATAAGGGGCAAACGCTAAATGGGCAAAAAAATACGGGAATTTAGTTTTTTATACAGTACAAATAAGAAACAAAATTATATAGTGAATTTTTTTATATATTTTCTGAGGAGTAAGTTAGTTAGTTTAGTATATTTAGTCCCAAGGTACTGGTAAATTAGGCAGTTAGGGCAATTTAGGTACTGGGCAACTGATATAAATGCATAGATATACGGATATAAATTTTTTTAAACATAATTAACATAAACAGAAAACACCCAGACCGATACAAACTGTCATACTCATCAATATATATGTTTGTACCATATGAGGAATCGAACTCGCGACTGTCGGAAGTAAGGCGGTATGCGAAACCGCTAAACCACCATGGCCGTCGATTAGAACTGGCTACGATAAATATAAAGAAATTACTCTTTTAAAGTTGTTCCAGTATTTAGGTACTATCCAATGCTAATCTAAAGTTTCTATTCTCTCTACAAAATAAAAAAATCTAGAATTCTCTAGTTGATAATATCACTATTCAAATTTCGCCGCCATCAAAAACACCCCATTCAGTGAGACAAACCAATCTCATCTTCAAATTCAATTTCAAGAGCACCGTTACGTTTTGTTGGACAACTTTAATAGACGACGATTGGAGCGGTCCCAGGCCGGAAAAAATGGAAGGTTCCGTCTTGAACGGCCTGTGAATGGCACTCAATGTACCGAGACAAAGAGCTCCAGGTAGAGCAAGGTGGAAAACATACGGGTAGGAATTCTGCACGTACCAGTAACTTGTATGATATATACCTTATCTTCCAAATAATTTAAAAGCAATTACGGTATGATTATTTGAGAGATTATAGATCATTGTTATAGTATTGTATTATTATACAATACTTTAAAATTATGTATTTTCTTTCTTAAAAGCACTGTCATAATCAATCATCATTGAATTATGATTCGAATGCAATATGGATGTCCTTTTGTATTTAACATAGATCTTGTATATACGTATACATGTAGGTAAGGATATAAAGAGAAACTGCCTAGCTGATTCACAACTATAAAAATACAGGAGAAATAGACAGCATAGAAGTAAGTGAAATTGAAAGCAAAGAAAGGATTTTTATATACATAGTCGAAGTCGCAAATAATAGTTACTAGTTTTATGTATATTCTTATATTAATACAATTGATTGGGGGACAGAGATTGTTAGTAAAGTGAAATAATGACTCCACCGCTAACAATGTACCAAGTTGACCTTCATCACTGGTGCCCTGTTAGCCTAAACGCGCTGGCGGGTACACCATACTATATTTATCCATTAAAAATAAGTACAATTTATTTTGATACAATACTTAGACAATAGACGTAAATTTTAAATAAATTTCTGTAATGAAGAAATTTAAGACATGGGTTGGAGTCCGTTCGACGCTGAAGTATAGTGTTGCAAAGGATTGCACTACTTGTGTTTTGAATACACAGTATCTTCTATACTAATATATGTTGTCTTTATGGACACAAAATATTAATCAACCTTATAGTCACCATGGAGAACAGAACGTCATTTGTTGTCAGTTGACAATCGTTGCGTTTTTTTACATAAAATGTTACATTATATTAC